TTACATGAGCAGATCTTTGGTGCGTATAAAAAACAAAATCAAGACTCGACTCCAATCCCTGTTTAATGGTTGGGTGCTACAACTCTGAACTGGAATCGATATTTCTACAGGAGGCAAAATAAGCCCCTTTTCTCCTTTTTGTTGACCGACACAAGTTTGCATCAATATTGAATTCCATGCTTCTTAATTACTTACATGACGTTTCATGATGACTCTGCTATATACGAGCTAACGAATTACTTGTATTGCCATCCTTAAGACAGGCAAAATACGTAACTCTCCAGCCAATTGAGTTCAAGTATTGGCCTTCCCATCTATTGTTAACCACAATGTTTGTTTTCGTATTGTTCGTGTCAGTGAACGGGCACATGACATAGATGAAGCTTTACGGGCCGATTATTCAGAGTTTGGCCGTTTAGTTTTATCGCGTTCTAAATCATCTCTAATTTAGTCAAGCTTTTTGTCAAACTTTTGTGTTCAATGTCAAGGACACTTAAAGCTAACACTGAAATAACATTCATGTACTTACAAAAACAATCTCTAAGTCTGTTGACTTCCTAACGTCGCGGTCAAATTTATACTGATATCAGAGCTCTTAAAGTCTACTTCAAGAAACAAACAATCTAACATTTGGAACTTCCATCAACACTTCAGTTGGCATTATACCGCATTACACTACATCTTTCAAGTATTTTATTATGTTTTATTTCTTTTCCTTCCTTCTTTTTAGCTTTTATTCGTTTTTAAGGATGGAGCCTAATGCCCTTTTATAGCGCGCCTTCGTGTTTAAGCGGCGATAAAGGCGAACAATGTGGGTAAAGAGACAAAAAGAGACATTGCCACAACAGTGATGAATTTCAAATGACAGCAATATCCATTGTTTAATAGTCAGTAAGCGGAACATCTTTATTCAGGGTATTTTAATATCACCCCAGCTGCAATTCTTTAACACATACGACTAACATTTAAAAAGTCATAATAATTTATCTGGGATTCCCGCTGGCCCAAGATTACTGTATTTAACAGCCGAACTGATCACTCAATTCTTGTAAAGACAGTGAAATTTATCTTAGAGTTGAAAATCACGGCGGATTGCATGACATGGGATTGAAAGCCTCTGGGGGTTAATCGAAGACAGGCAGAACTTAACGATCGCTATTAATTCTAATTTATTTATTTCTTTTGTTGTGATATCGTAAGCACATTAAAAGAATTCAGAATTTAAAAAAAAAAATCACTGAAGCCTCAAAAGGAGTCCACTGCGAAGTCATTCAACAAACCTTGTTTTGAACATTGCTCAACACTGCTAACAAATCCGGTGACTCAAACTGAGTAATAACGCGCTGAGTTTTAACAACAACAACAAAAAAACGGTAGTTTGGGTTCAATTGGTTTTCATCAGAGTGGTAAGTGGACCGACTTTTATCGTGTTTTAATAGACTGATCTCCAAAGGCCATGATTATCATTTTGGTTGTTTGTTTTTAACTGATAACGTGGGGCCCGTTTCTCGAAAATCCTGGTAACTTAAAGGGCCCGTAAAGCGGTTCGGTTTTCATTCAAGATGGGGATTTCAAAAGTTTTGAAAATAATAGAATAGAACTATCAGCTAAAGAAACAAAATGGAATGTTTTGAGTGCCAGAACTTGCTTTTTTATCCTTTAACTTTTGACTTAGAAATACGACTTAGGGCCCGCTAAGTTACCGCCACTTTCGAGAAACGGGCCCCTGGAGACAGCGTTTCTACCATCATTTCAACTCTTTCGCTAAAGTTTTGGAAAAAAAATAACAGTTCTGTTGCTATTAGTTCGGAAACCTTAACCAACTTGAAACTTATGCTCAGTATAGAGCGTCATTTGAATGAACAAACAACTTGAATAAATTCTGTCTGTGTATTTGATGTCTTCTAAAATGATCGCAAGATGGGGTCATCTGTTTTAAAATCATGCCAATTTGTTTATTAGAGTCAAGCGAATCGTTTTTAGTTGGTCGAGTGCTTCACGAGGTTCAACCATCAAACAACTCCGTGACTCTAACTATGATCATGACTTCCGCTCAGGTTGTCGAACAATTTTCTTTGCGCGGCTGGTACCCAAACTTGCCAACAGTCGACTTAGTGGACATTCAGGTCCTGTGCTAAGGCAGAGAGAAGATTTTCTGAAACATCCTATTCGTAGTACAGAGTTTTACGACCTCTCACGTCTTGTTTAGTCACTATGTCGAGGGCAACAATACTTTTCGGGACTACGCTTTCACTGACGATGTCACTACGATATCGATCAACTTTTTTACTCCAAATGCAATTGACACCGCAACAGAGTTGTCATAGATAGATATGGTCAGTGACAGTATGAATATTTTCTCAGAAAATCTCGGAATCTGCATTTATTTTGAGAAACTAACAAATTCTGGTCCGCAATAAGAAGGCCCAATGTAGATTTAATTTGCCAGGAACGGTAACAAAAGCCGCTTGGTTATAATTATTTTCGAATTTTTAGCTAGCTAGTTAGCTAAAAATGACACTCAGTATGTTTGAGCGATTATTCGTACATTTTTTCAATTGAACACATTAATCAGATATCTCTTCCACATTCCATAATCCAGTTAAAACCTTGATAAAAAAACACATTTTTAAGCTTTTCCCTCGACTTTTTCAAAAGGAAAAATGCTTGAGAATTTATCTTGTTTCGACAAAAAAATTTGCAACTATTAACACGTCATAGAGAAGCTAAGCTCTATATAAACCCTGACAAACACCAATGGTTTGTCCAATCAAATGGCGCGTTATAATTATAAACACACACGACATACAATAACATTTTATTTCCTTATTAGAATGGTCGTTGTAACCAACCACGCATACGTGTTTTTCCTTTGTTTTGCAGACTGTTGGTTGGGAAAAATCAATAACATCCACGTAGACAAGGAGAAAGTACCGGAAGAGATAAGGCATCAAAAACTTGTCTCTATGGAAAGGCTATCTCCTATCGTAAAGGTGGTTCAAAATGATCATTGCCGAGTAGGAGCTGGCTCAACAGGGTTTATTTCCCTCGCGACGAAACCGCGTATGCCAAGAGTTCATAAGTTGCACTGGGAAAAAGACAAATGTTCTGTGGAATGGTTGAAAAGAATTAGACAGGTCAATACATCATTTTTTCTTGAAGGCCAGCCAGAGATTGTCTTGGATCAAGAGCTCTTTCATAACAGCAAGGCACCCAACGAAACATTTAGCAGAGAAAGTAGAATTGATGTAGCAGATGGAATTTTTCATGGCGAGTCGTTTCCACCTGATCAAGAAATTGAGGATAATTCTCAGGGTCGAAAGCCAGACTCGGCGTATATAAGTCAAATAAACAAGTCTATCTGCATGTCAGCCAGTTCTAAAAGAAATTGCGCTGACTTTGACAGTAACCTTGCCTCAGTCACGGGGTATTCTTCAAAATACGATAAACTTCCTGAAAAAAACTCGTCACCACAAGGCGGTTTATTTGAATCAGAAGACAACCAAAAGGCTAAACGAAAAATCAGTTTTGAGTACATACAAGGAGTTAGCATGCTTCAATACGGACACAATTCTGTGGACTTCTGCAGATAAACGTCCCAATCAGGAGTGTAATTACATAAAATCTCGAATTCTTAACCTACATGTAGGTTGATAAAGCTTCAGTGCAGAGAATGGAAGCACGCATATGAATCGTTATGACAATATTTTCCTCTCAGTGACCAACAACCGAATTGTATTAAGTAAAACCCTTTTATTGCAGTCTATCAAAGACGTCAGGCTTGGAGCGCCTTCATTTCTTGGTTAATGAAGAAACCTAGGGTGCCTGCACGCGAGAACTAAAAAGCACTCACAAAACTAGGAAAGGATCTATATCATGCACCTGCCTACTTAAAGTGCCGATCGAGGGGGTGGAGGTCGTGACATTTGTGCATTAAGCCACGGACAAGAAGCATTTCAATTTTACAGCAGAGAAAGTGAGCGAAATTTCTGAGGGTGTTAATTATGAGACTTTCAGCACCATCGGACTTTGGCGCTCGGGAACTTTAATACATTTAAAAACATTTCTCCTGCCTGGTTTACACTGAACGAGTTTTCTGGATTGTTTTGATTGTGCGATTTGGATCAAACCACAAGTATACGTGTGCGTTCTGTTGCAATTTAATCATCTCTTTGGACCGTTTTGTTTTCGTTTTTAAGAATATTTGTTTTTCGTTTTTTAAGAATATTTAAATATGACAAGTTGGGAATGTTCGTGTACTTTTTCTAATTCATAACAACAACAAGTTTTTGGTTACAATAAAATATATGAAGTTCATATATTTTGAACTGCGGTATTAGATACGTATGATGCACGATCCTCGCAGTAGATAGCGCTATTTAAGCAATAGCGAAAATCAGACCCGAAAAAAATCAGGCCTGTACGGGATTCGAACCACTGAACTCTGCGATACTAGTGCAGCGCTCTTACCAATTGAGCTAACAAGCCTCAACAAGCCTAAATAAGTTTTTTTTAAAGAGGGTTTTACATCATGAAAAGTGTATATCAAAATAAGGTCAGGTTTATCCCATATAAGTAGTGCACCTATTGACAGCGAACAGAGTTAAATGCGACAGAGTTATATTCGACGTTTGAATCAAATGCCGTATTTAACTATTTTAGTCGACTAAAATAGGAGTTAAGTTCGGCACATGTGAAATTCGACGTTTGAACAGGGCCTAACTTACGATAGAATACCTCTTAATAGTGGTCCCTTTTGGGCAGTTCACTTGAGAAAGGAAACAGGAAACGTGCTATACATATAAAACCTTTTAACCTTGAAAAGCTTGGAATAACAAACCTATGCTTAGAAATGGCTGTCGTGATAATATTCAGACCGGAAATAATTGTAAAAAAATGTCGCATAGAACAAAGAAAATTTATGCATCAGTGATTATCAGCACATTTGCTTACGTCAACCGCCAAAACGCACAATACCAACAGAAACGTCATCACTCACGACTCGTATCTGAAACATCCCACCTTAGCCTTTGTGGAGTTCAAATAACATTTTTAAGAGTTCGCCCCATATTTACCAAAAAGAGCAGCTGAAGCAAAGCACTGACAGGTCAGGTGAGGTATCCTTGCGTGCTTTTTTCTCGCTTGACGGCGACCATGAGCGATTGACGTGCTTAATATCGCGGTTGTGCGATTCGTGCTATTGTGACTCACAGTTTCCCTTAAAGAAAAAACTAACCATTTCGAATGAGTCACGAATTGTCGTTCGTCTCTACTTGGATAAGACAAGTACCGCGTGAAATGTGCGACTACGTCGGGAAAGAGACTCTAGGAAAGTTTATGTCTTAAGGGTGTTGTGAGCGGTTTTTTCAAAGGTTGCTCATCCTGAAAAAGGGTTACATTTGATTAATCACAATTTGACCAGATGTCAACTTCGCGTTTTTTACAGATCCCTATTTTGATCAATTTATTGTGGGAATAGACAGTAATTAAGGAAATTAAAGCTTGTTCCATCGTAAATCTTTGAAAATGAGATATACCAGAGGACTACTATATTTTTTCAGCCGCAGCTTTTATTATTAAAAAAAAACAATCAATCATTATATTTTGCGTGACATGAATTCATCACTCATAGCTACTGAGAGAAATCATCAACGACAACAGTTAAGCATGGATGGATATAAGCCCTGAGAGACACTTCACTACAATTGTATTTCACATTTCCAAATTAAAACTCTAAAAGATCATAATTACAACACAATAAGCAAACAGACTGCTAGAAAATAAACAGCATTTTTTACTTATTTCTTTTGAAATCGATGCGCATATTTAAACTTCGACTACGTGCTTCATTGAGTGCAAATAGAATCTGACGTGACTAAGCTGAAGACGCCTCCAAAAAAAGGAAAAGCTTACAGATAAGTTGGATTTTGAATGTTAATTTCCTTTTGCCCTAATTACCATTTCAGGGTATATAACCTCTGAATATCGAGCATCTAGTTCTTGAAATCATCTATTGAAAAGGTCTGCAAAAGGCATTTTGATAATTATGAAATGTTTATCGCGGCTGTTAGATTCGGCGGATGGACATGCATTTAATCTGGCATACTCAAATAACTCTAGCCACCAGCTCTTACGCAGTCTGCCACAACAGGCTTTCCAAATGTAGGATTCTTCGCCCTTTTTCAGTTTGTCACGGAATAATTATATTTCTGAGAACAATAATTTTTATAGAATAATAAACAAAAAGATATAAAAAGTCAATGGCTGAGAGCTCTTTCCTCAATGTATTTCTCAGCCGACTTAACACAGAAAAAATTGACCATGCCGACCTTAACAACGGCTGTAAGACCTCAATTTTGAAAGAACATGGTTTCAAGGATAATTTTGCTGTTTTTGTTGTTTATGTTATTATGTAGGCAATATGGCACGAAGGGAACCCGTGGCTCAAGAAAACGTCACACTCCCAGGCACTGTGCCTGAAAGGGATTTGTATCTTCTAAATCGTGAACCTCAAAGTGGCCTTGAACTCAAGAGAATGATACCATTTGAGCCAAAGGAATCAGACGACGAAGCCGACAAGAAAAAGTTACCCACCAATTATGAAATATGGTTTGAGTTTGTAAATAATACTTCGCTGCATGGAATTCGCTACATCTTCTGGAGACGCCCTTTATGGGCCCGGGTTGGTTGGTTGCTCGTTCTTTTAATGTTCTCTGCATATTTCTCTTTCACTACGTACAAGTCATTGGAGAAATACTTCAACCACCCAATTAACACCGTCATTACACAGAAATACGTAAATGCAATGGATTTCCCGGCTGTCTCAATTTGTCCTCTCAATTCTGTCAGCAAGAAAAAGATGTACGCTTTAGATGGTGACATCAATTTTACCAAATATGGTTTAAACAACAGCGTATGTGCAGCTACTGAGTCGGCGCGTAAAGGGATACCGTGTGGAGCAGCCATGCTCTGTTGCTGCTTAAGTTTCTTCATATATGATGGAGGAAATCTCGTGCCAAACTGCACTGCATCGCTCGCTCAAAGTCTCATTGCTGCTCAACAAAATTCTGGGGAATTTTTCGATTCGGTTAAGTTTTACAAAAAGTACGGACAGAGTGTCAATGAGATGCTTCGGCCTGAAGTTTGTATCTTCAACGGCGAAGTTAATGAACCTTGTGGTTCAGGGGATTTTACACCAACCGTGACTGACTGGGGTTTATGTCATACTTTCAACTCGGGTCCGGGGAACATTAAGAAAACTCAAATTAGAGGTCCTTCCGGCGGCTTGAACATTTGGTTAGACTCACAAACTGATGACTACACATTAGCAAGACTTTCAGAGGGATTCAGCGTCGTGATTCATCAACAAGGAGAATTTATTAATCCTTTTGACGGCATCAACGTTTCACCAGGAACACAGGCAACAATTATTTTACATCAGAAAAGGGTGGGTACGAGGAAATTAGCGACAGAAAGAAAGACAACGATAACCAATCACAAAGCGAAATAAAGCAAAACCAATGCAATCTCAGATTACTTTCAAAACTCAATCGAAAATTGCTCTATTAAATCCCAACTTGATGATGCAAAATAGACTGCTATTCACCCGGAGAGATTGAACCTTAAACAGCTGAAATAAGTCAGAGATTGTAAATCTATTCTTTGATTGCCTCTTTAACTTTCCTAGTTCTTTTTTCAGATCGTAAACCTTCAGGATCCATACGAAACGAAATGCAAAAACAAGAAACTGAAAACGATAAGTAACTATACGATAACGGGATGCCAGTTTGAATGTCTCCAAGAGGCCATCATCGAAAACTGCAAATGCCGTTTCGCAACATATTCAGGTTAGCAAACTCATTAAGATTTAAACTTCAGTTTTAGACCAGCCTCGCTTTCTTTTGTTTGTTTATCGAAAATGTTGTGCTGTTGGTCTTCAAGTTTTCCCTTGAAACGACTCCCTCCCCTCCCCCCCTTACCCCTTCCACCTTCCCCCTCCCCAAGCCTTCACAAATCAGATCATGATCAATGATTAAAAGTCTAGGAAGTAAAATGTCGGGGCTAAGACCAAATCAGTTTGATTAGCAGCAGCAGAGGCCTTTCCGTAGACGAACATTTTATGTTAAACCATTTCATGGTAAACTATTTTTAAGAACACCACTTTTTTCGTACATGCTACGAATTAATCCCAAAGTGGAATACTCGGCTCATAGACAGAATCACGATGGTATCTTCATAACTATGAAATTATGTTTCTTGTGACATGATACTTAAGAGTGAATAGATTGGGACCTGGACGTGTCTTGCATTTCCGTGACATGACCGAAAAGCAGGAGGGTTTTGGAAAAGAATGCGGACACTTTTGGCTAATTCTCATCTTTTTTCAAAGCACCAGCCATCAGACCATGCGCCAAATATGATGCGCCTTGTATCCAGTACCTCACAAGTGAGTAATTATATATATAAAGTGTGCAACCTCATTTTTCGACCTTACGTTGAAAGTCGTGTGGTGTTCTTCTTTATTTTATCGTGGAGAATACGAGAATTTTTGTGGGGAAGGAACGATTTTTTATCTCATCATCGACGTTTGATCTTGGCGTCGAACTCGTAGAAGTGAATCTTGATTCCAAAGAAACGCCACCAAGTGCTCGATGGGCTACTTGGAGGCAAGTCGGACAGAAATGTTGACGCAGTTCTTTTTCACTTTGCCAGGCCAACTTGATGTTACGAAATGTGACTGTCCTAACCCTTGTAATGAGATGAGATACACTACAGAGGTGTATTATTCTAAGTTCCCGGATGCTGGAACAGCAAATTTGCTCCAACCCAATGGAGACGAAAGTACTTTAAAGTACTTAAGGTAACTGACCAGTGTATATCAGTTATTATTAAAAACTGGATCATTGGATAATGCAATTCAAGAATTTTTATTGGCTTAGCCATTATGGTATATCAGCCAATATACCATAATCTACAAATATGGTAAGCGTACGCGTCAGCTTAAAATCAAAAGGGAGCTAAAAAATCCAGTTTCTTCTTACAAAATAATAATTTCTTGAGGGCGTTTTTAATAAAACAATTATTCCACTCGCGCTTGTTGGATATGAGATGATTATAGCCAACTCGGCGCAACGCGCCTCGTTGGCTATCTATCATCTCATATCCAACGCGAGCTCGTGGAATAATTGTTAATTATTTTTTATCGTCACCATTATCCTCATTACCCAGACGCTCAGCTTTAGAGCTTCACAGCAAGATCATTTCCTGACGACCCAATAAGAACTTACCGATCGCTTGTATCAAACGCGGGAAGAGGTAAATGACTTTCAGGTTACTGCGTGCGCGTTTTTCGAGCTATACCGCTTGATTAAGGGAGGACCTGCTAGAACAAAAAGCACCAGTTGAGGTACTGTCTGGAAAAAAGTCAGCGAGGTGACTCCTAAAGGACGAGGACAGGATTTTAGAAATAACAGGGCCAACTGGTTGGGAAATGGTGTTGCCTTGTGTCCTAGATAGGGTGATGAGTTTAAACTAGCAAGTTCTTACCGTGGTCTTCGCACTCAACCCCCCAAGAGACACAAGATCCTATAATTTATCTACATACTTGATAAAATTTTATTTATTTATTTATTTATTTATTTATTTAGGGAAAACACAGTTTTTCTTCAGATTGGTTACAAATCACTCAGCTATGAATTACATGAGCAGAAAGTTGCATTTGGAATTGAAGCTCTGTTTGGTAGGCGCCCTCACTTGTTTTCTCTTTTCACTCTCTTCCTTATTAATGCAGAAGCGTGTCCAAGGAAGCTTTTGAAACTTAGATAGAATCTACTTTGGCTTTGGATACAATGTGTATATGAAATTCATATATTTTGAATTGCGGTATTAGATAAATATCTAATACCTCAGTTCAAAATATATGAACTTCATAAATACATTGTATCTGATTTATCATCACGGGTTTATTACGAATCAACTTAACGGCCTGTTCCCAGTTGGCTTGTTAGCTCAATTGGTAGAGCGCTGCACTTGTATCGCAAAGGTCAGTGGTTCGAATCCCGTATAGGCCTGATTTTTTTCAGGTCTGATTTTCGCTATTGCATAAATAGCGCTCTCTACTGCGAAGATCGTGCATCATAGGTATTTGGGCTTTGTTTTTGCTTGCGAACTTTCATGACATTTCATTTGTTTCTGTTTCTGTTTCTAAAGATTTGTACATTGTACAGGTCGAAGAACAATAGGACACGTAGTCCCCTACTAGGTTCATCCACCTAAACCCAACCCACCCATTCCACCCCGAGGATTTGTACATTGTACAGGTGGAAGAGCAATAGGACACGTAGTCCCCTACTAGGTTCATCCACCTAAACCCAACCCACCCATTCCACCCCGGGGATTTGTACATTGTACAGGTGGAAGAACAATAGGACATGTAGTC